TTTTTTTATCATGAAATAAGATTTGTTTTTTTATTTATATATAAAAAATACTGTATATATATATTATATATATTTTGATATTTCTTATCTTGAAAAAAACTGAAATAAAATCTGTGAGGAAATAAAATTAAAGTTAAATAAAAGCTAAAACCAAACTAAATCTTATTTTTCATTATCCGGCCAACCGTTTCACTCATTCAGTCACTCACACAACTCATCTAATCATTCAATAATTTTTTTTTATTTAAAATTTTGTTTTTTTCTCTATATGTGTGTAATAAATAATATTTATAACTTTTTCAAAATAATAAAATAAAATATTCTGTTATATTTAATAGTAGAAAGTAATGTCATTACTCCATAGTGAAAATAAAACTAATAAATATCCATTTATTTTATTTGTAGTTAAATATATATATATATGTATTTGAGGACAAAATAAATTTAGAAAATTTTTTGATGATATTTTCAAAAATATTTTGCTATTTATTTTGTAATATACAGTATATATATATTTAACAATTTTTCTTTATTAAATTATTATCATTAAGTTTATATGTTTATACATATAATATAAATTAAATGTAAGCTCTTTTTTCTTAACTATTTTTTTAATAATATTAATAATATTAATAGTTAAGTGATTTGAACATTAAAAATATTTTTTAGTAAATTGTTTTATATGATAGTAAAAATTTTTATATTAGATTTAATACAACAACAACAACTAAATATAAAAATATTTTTCAATTGCAACATAAAACAGTTAATATAATTTATTTTTACAGACTAAAGTAATTTTATATAAATTTTTATATATAATATATATATATATTTACTGGCATTTTTAAAATAATTACAATAAATTTTGTTACAAAAAACACACACACATAACGCATCCTTTTGAATATTTATTTTATATATTTATACAGTATATATATACTGTACCGTATATACAGTATAGAAAAGATTGAGAAACATATATATATATATATATATATATATATATAATGTAAAATAAAATAAAAATAACGGTAATAATAATAACACAAAATGCAAATAATGTTTATTCATTTTATGTAAAACCAGTGGTATTATAATAGTGATCGTTAAAAATATAAGGGAAACTGTTTGCAATGTGGTTACCATTTATGGACTCTCTCTCTCTCTCTCTCTCTCTCTCTCTCTCTCTCTCTCTCTCTCTCTCTCTTTCGTTTTCTCTATCACTCACACACTCACTCACTTTCATACAAAACTAGCATTTATTTAAAAGTATATTTGTGTGGATATATATTTATTACGACAAATCTTATGGCTGTGTGTGTGTGGTATTAGTTGTGAAATAAAAATTATGGCAACAATTTTTATTTTGTTTGTTTCTTTCATTTTGCTTTACATATTAAATAAATTTGACAGTCATTAGTGTCCTGCTATGCCTTTTATATATATATATATATATAAAAACTACATAAAATTTCATAATATTTATGTCTATAAAAAAACTTCAAATAAGAAATAAAAAAATTTATGCGATTTCTTCAACGAATCCGACTCTTATTTGAATCATTTTTTTAATACAAGTATTTTTAAACAATTTTAACTTAAGTGTCATATGTTTTGTGTCGACTTTAAATATATTGTATTATAAAGTCTAAAAGTATTGAATATTCATAAAATTTCCTTAATTTTATTGTTTACTTTAAAAAAATTATCTAACTGTACATCAAATTTAAAGTTAGATATTATTATTAAATATAATATGACTAAATTATAGTTATATTTTTAATGTGTATTATATTTGGTACAGTATTATAACTTAATCGATAAATATATATATATTTAATACTAAACACCCAAATAAGTTTTAATTATTTGAAAGTTGACAAAAAATATATATTTAATGATTTTTATTGATTTTATTTGAAATGTTATGCTATATATGTAATATACACTATATATATAGTAGTAGTAGTATATACTCTATATATAAACTTTAAGAAACCGGAATTGAGTCTAAGTTTTCATTTTATAAATCCTTTTATCAATTCCATGATATTAAAAGATTTGAGATTATATTTTGTTGTTTTTTTATATTATATTTTTCTCATATTAAAAATGGATATATATTTTATATATAAAAATTGTGTGTTGTGTATGTTGTGGTGAAATATGATATTAAATATTTAAGACGATTTTTTTTATATCACCGATAATATGAAAAAATTTATTTATTAGTTTGCTTGTAGAAAGTTATGCTATAAAATAAAAAAAAAACATTTTCAATACAATTTATACAGACATTAAAACTGTCATTAATATAGATGTTTCTGCTATATATACTTATATAGTATATATAGATTATTATTGTATTTTTTTTAGATTAGTTTTTTTATTTCTAAAAAAATTATTCTTAGATTTTTTATGGAAACAATGTTTTACAAATTAATTTAGTTAGTAATTTAAATAATACATATATTTAAATTGTGTGACATATTTTTTATGAAAATTTAAAAACTATAAGTTATTTAGTGTTAAAATTTTTTTATATATCATAATTTTTTTACTAATAAGTAAACACTAAATTATTTATGTAAATTTACATTTTTTTAGTTACTTAAATTAGTAGATATAAGCATTTTGAAGTGTTTATGAAAGAAAAATTAAATGTATTTTTGACATATTTTTTAAATATTTGATTTGTTGAATAGCCTTTGGGTTTGAATTTAGTTTATTTTAATTTTTATATATTATAATTCAATCTTAGATTTGATAGCCATTTAGTTTAAGGCATTTATTTAATTGAGTAGTTGTTAAAAATAAAACTTTATTATCATTTATTAAGCTTAAATATTTTTTTTAATAAAAATTATAATATTAGGTTTTATTTGATAAATGCAATATGTTTTTATATGTAGCTATATTTTTTTGTAGTTATATCATAATTAAGTTATTATGATTATGTTTAATATATTAACATTATTTTAATTATAAGCTAATTAATAAGTTTTATTTTTAAGCAACAATATTTAGAGTTAAAATTAATGTTGTTTAGAAAATACTTAAGTTAAAATAATAATAATAATTTTATATTTAATATTACAATATATATATACTGTATATATATAAAGTTTGTGTGACGAAAGATTTATGGCTACTATTAGTTAATATTATTACTATATATATGACAAATAATTAATTAAACATTTAGTCTATTAATATTAATAACAAGAAGTAATTAACAGGAAAAAAAATCTGTAATATAAAAACAAAATAAAATAAAAATAAAAGTAATCATAAAATATAACAAAGTTTATGGATAGTAATAGTAGTATTACTGTATATAAAAAAACATCCTAAAAAAATAGTGAAAATTAATTACAAACGGAAAGGCATTCAAACGGGGTTTTATTGTATTATTAGTTTCTGTTTTGAATCTTTTATATACACATATTGTATTGTAAAACAATGACATCGGAGAGAGGGACAGCTGTACATTAAATATAAAAAAATCCCAATTTGATTACTAACTTTTCATAGCATATTAAACGCTGTTTGAAAGTGTTTTATAATTAAAGACATCGACAGAGAGATAGAGAGAGAAAAAAAAGTTTTTAACGAAAAATATTTCATTGAAGCAAAAGTGAGTTTAATTAGACGACAGGACAATGATATTATATAATTTATAATACTATTACAAACAAAACATATATATATATATATATATATATATACATACATACTGTACATCCATGCACTTGCATCCCATTCCTTACAATAAGGCAGTCAGTCATTTAATATTACTATAATATAATGAAAAGACTATAGAGATATTTATTATATAGTTTTTTTCTCTTTGCTTTTCAGTTATATTATTATTAGAGAAAAATGTATTGAAAAATTAAATTCAATTTATACTATGAAATAATATACCGTATTTACTGTTAGATACGATATACTGTATAAAGCCATCAAAAAATTAAGCGTTGAAATTGATTTTACGCTTCAATTTTTATATATACAACAATTTATGGCATCAAACATTGAATTATTATTTAATAATAAAACTCTTTATCCTCTCTCTCTCTCTCTCTCTCTCTCTCTCTCTCTCTCTCTCTCTCTCTCTCTCTCTCTCTCCTCTCTTTAACTCACTCTCTGTACTATTATTTAATATTTTTTAAAAAGATATAAACATATTTTTAAAAGTAGTCATTCAATATATCACATCACAGACACACACACAGACACAACACTATCTACCAAAACGGATGTCTTCATACTATTGTATAATATATATATATATATATATATAACACTAGACAGACAACAACATAACTGTCCATTTGTCAAAATTTTTTCTCGATAGGAATTTTGTAATTTTAATCCATAGAATAAAATATTACAGAATATTCTTTATACATCATATCACACAAGTATTATACAATTGGTGTTTATATATATATATTGTATATATATTTCTTCAATTATATGTAATCCAACAATCTTTGTGCACATATCTAACAAAAACATTTTAATATTTTGTATTTAAAAAAAATATCTATTGATATTTTGTATAAAAAAAATTATAGACACCTATGACACGTTTTGATAAAAAAATTGATTGATATCCATTGATGGATATTTATAGTTAAAGTAAAATATAATATTTATATGTGATGATATTGATGAATTTTTTATGAAATTTTAAGTGAATTAATAAATTTGCTTAATATAAAATTAAATATTAAATATTTTATTTTAACACATTTTTTAAAGAAATATTTAGTATATATATATATATATTTTGTAGACTAATTCAGTAAATTAGATTAAATTAGATAAATTTATAAATTTAATATACAGTATATTAACATTAAATTTACAGTCTGTTATATAATTGTTAGAGACAGTAAATGCACTGTAAAATATTGTAAAATTTTTATTTTTTAATAAAAAATTTTAAAAAAATTATTTATGAAACTAAATATATGATAACTGACGACCAGATGTCTGGCATTTTGTGTACACATTGTTAGGCATTTCCTTATGTAAACAATAAATATAAAAATATATATTAAATAATATATATATATATACTGTGTAATATAGCTATGTGTAAAATATATATAGTGTCTGTGTTATGGCCGGAAAGTTTTGTGACATAGTATTCAATCAATCATCAAATATATAGTTTGTGTGACTTTTCAATAACAACAACAAAAACATTTTTCATATATATATATATTTTATATCTCATAGATATATTAGTGACAATCAATTTTGAACTTATTTTTTTTTTGTTTAGCCAATGAAACAGTGTCTTATTATATTATAATATATATACTATACTATACTTTCACTTAGCTTTTTTTGAGCGGAAAACATTGAAAAAATGGTTTTTAATAAACAGTCCCAAAACATATGTGACAACTACTACTACTACTAACTCTAGATTTTTTTAATGTTAGAATACTATATAAATAATTGTGTATATATTTATGTAATTTTTTTCAATACATTTAACAATATTTTTAAAAGCAATATTTTTTGTGTATGTAATTAAATATATCACTCATTTGTCAGCTTCTTAACAGTTGTTATTTTTAAAAAAATATATTTTTAGTATCAAAACATTATATAAGTACCGAGTCGGTACTACCGACACTTGAAAAGCATATACAAAAATATGTAGAGAGAGAGAGAGAGAAATATTTTTTATTTTTAACTGTTTATGCAAAATCAATGCATATTTTCTCAAATGTTTATAAAAATTATAATTTTTTTGTTGAGATATTTTTTTATTACAAAATATCATTCAGTTTTTAATATTAAAGCAAATAATAGCAGCACTTAATTAGTTTACTTGATGTGTCATATTTTTTTCAATAGTTATTTGTTCACAATTTAATGTTTATATATTTATTTTTTTATATATATATTATATATACTTTAAATGAAATTTTTTTCATTATTTAAATAAAACCGATTCCCGGACTCAAGTATTTTTTAGTTAAATTTAAATTTTTTCTTTTTTTTCTCTCTCTCTCTAAATATAATTTAGTATTTTTTCTTTGCATTTAGTGTACTGCTATTATAAACATTAAAATACAAAAAACATTTAGACATTAAAAATAATCTATACTCTAGTTTTAAAAAAAACAAATATAATACTAATAATCATTTATGCTATATTGTAATATGACTATTAAGCCGAGTAAATAATAATAATAATAATTGTTATTTTTAGTAATGAACAAATACATTAGGAGATATTGTATACATTTGTATTAAAAGTTTATGTTTGTTAATGTTTGTAAAATATTAAATACATTGTAAAATGTTGTGAAAGTATATTAAAAATTTATTACTATTAATTAATGGGCAAATAGTTATTTAAAAATTTTCGATAACAACAACAACAACAAAATCTACTTTTATTTTTTAAAAATAAATAAATAATAGCTAATTTATAATTTATAATCATAACTAATTGGGATTCAACTGTAAATTCAATTTGTGAATTACAATACCATTATAGAAGCACACACTTGACATACATATTAGAAAGTTTTGTTTTTTAGGTTTTTATTTTATTATTTAATTATAATTATTGTTTAAATTATTAATTTGTTTGAATTAACTATTTGAATTAATCATTAAATAGCAATCTAAAAATATCAGTAAAATTATATCCTATATGTATATAGATTAGTATACTATTAATACATAAGATGAGCTTAAAACTACTTTTAGTTAAGAGTTAAGTCAAAAAATCATTAATTACTAGAAAACTCAGATTATTTTAACTAAAGTAATTAACCTGAATAATGCAAAAAGATAATTAATAAATAAATGTGAAAAATAAAATTGAATTCATGTAAAAATATATGTTATATATATATAACTCGTATATTTAATAACATAGATATTTATTTTTTTAATAATTGTAAATAAAATTATTATTATTATTAATAATGAATATATTCAGTTTTGGCAAATATTAATTAGAAAAAATTGCAATTTATTTTTGTTAACATATATGATAAAAATTATTTTGTACAGATTATTGATTAGACAGTTAGTTATATTAATCACATACAAACTATGGTTACTATAATATTATTATTATTATTTTATTGTAAGATATATATAATCAATAATTTGATGGACCTTAAAAAAAATAATAAGAAAAAAAGGATTTTCATTGATATCAATTCAAATAAATTAATGTATTTTATCTTATATTCAATATAATGATAGATATTTATAAATAAAAATAATTTATATATCAATATATATATATAAATGAAATTGATTTTTTAAAAATTGAAATAAATTTATATATACTATACTATAAATGTTTGTATGTTAGTGAGTGTAGAGATGCGTAAAATTAGATTCATAGTTATTATCATCAATTTTATTATTTTTTAATAACATTATTAATATAATTAACGTTTTAACATTTTGATTTAATAAAACTATATACAGTACTATAGTTAACAAATCTATTGTTGTATAAACTAATATACAATAAATGTTAGAAATTGAACTATTATTATCATCTTAAATGCTGTTTAAGTGAACATACATATAACGTACGTGTCTATTAAAAATACATGTATATATATATATATATATATGTGTGTGTGTGTGACTTAATAAATAGGATATTTGTCATTATGGATATTGAGCTATCAATTGACTGTCAAAAAATATTGTGCATTTTATTGTCACAATAATGCCATTCATATCTTTCGACATATTTTATGCTAAACTACAAGAATAAGAGAGAGAGAAAATAAAAAATAAATTTAAATTTTTTATTCAACTTTCAAATTATTTGAATGAATTGATAGAAATCTTGAGAACAATTTTTTTGAGTACCAAATCATTCACAAAATTATATACAGAATATTCTTATATATATATATATATATTCTAATGTATTCTTGAATTTGATTTTATTTCAATTGCTTATAGCATTGTAAATATATATATATTGTCTGAATGAGTATGTGTGATAAATATGATTTTTATTATATATTCATAGATTGAAAACAATCACTTTTTTCACTGATTTTGCAGAAAAAATGTTTATATTATTAATATATTTGTTTTTTTATTTGTGCCACTAATTTGCCAAAAATTTCAATAATAAAATTATAATACAATCACCCGTCAACTGTTTAATATGTTGAAAAATAAATTGTTTTGTTTGTTGTTTCACACTCACACACTCACACACTCACACACAACACTATTCATCAATTCATGAATTTATTTGAATAGCGTGTGTGTGTTATTGCGTGACTTGTTTGTGATTTTGTTATATGTTAGGCATCTCTAAACATATACAATATAAACAACATATAGTCTTAATATATTATATATATATGTGTTTATTTATATAATAGATAGACAACAGCATCAAAAAATGTTGAGAATTTTGATAATGTTTTTGTTTGGCATCTAATCATCACAACAACAACTAATCCATGTTTTGTACAATTAGTTTGTTTGTCAATTGACCAATAAATTTGAATTGATTTTTTGATTATATGAGCTCCAAAAATACAAGTGTTATCAAATATATTTTCAATACCTATTTATTTATAAATATAAAAAAATAATGCTTATTTGCAAATTATTATTAATATTTATTTATACATTTATTAATGCTATATATAAAACATAAATATATATATTTATATATGCTTAATATAAATTATAATGTATGTACAACTATATGGTTTAGCTATAGCTATATTGTAATCGATACGAAAAATAAATGACAGCAAAAAAAACAACAACAAAAACAAAATATATTTATTTTAATAGCAAATATTGAATTGAGATTTTTGTTTTATGACATTTTCTTATGTTGGCATTTATTAGTTTGAGGTAAACATATATAACAAAAATAAATTTATGTAATATATAAAAAGCTAAAGTACTGTATATACTGTATACTATATATACTGTAGATGTATTTGTATATACAGTATAACATATGATATAAATGAATAATATGTTTGACCACTAAAACAATTTTGACTACAGGTTTCATATATCTACTACTACTATGTATATATGATTTATCTTTTTTTATTTGATTTTTTATGTTAGTTTTTCTTATATATAACTTCTATAGATATATATATTCAATATATTGTACATACAGTATACATGTTATTACTTTCTCTTTTAGATACATATATTTAAAATAAAACCTCTATTATTGTGTTTGTGTTGTATTATATTGTAGTTGTGTTTTTTGTAGTCCTTTTCAATATCAGTACTAAACTAATGCTTATCCAATGGCAATGTTATCTATAAAAAAAGTTAGAGAATATTCTATGAGTTATCCACAAAAAAAATCCTATTATTTGTCTGATATTTATCTCACACACAATACAAGAAATGTATTTATAAACTTTATGATATATCTTATATATATATTAGAGTAAAATCCATTATCTTCTATTGTTTTAAATAAAAAAAATTCAATACATATAAAGGCATTTATAAAACTATTTTTCAAAATCATTAATATTAAAAGCACACACAAACGCAAAAAGAATATTAGAAAAAAATATATAATAATAATATATTATTAATATTATTATTATTTTATGTAATAAGATTAATATTTTAAAGTCAAATATAATATTTAAGTTTATTATAATATATGATATCATGAATATACAATATTGAACATTTAATTTAATTATAATTTATATATTATTTTTATTATTAATAATTTTAATTTTAACAGCTACAAATTTTATTATATTATATAAAATTTTAATTATGTTATGTTAGAATTTTATAATAAACTTTTATTTACATTTTAAATTGACAGTAAAAATTTTAAAAAATAAGTTTTAAAGTTTTAATTTTATTTTATTTAAAAAAAACTATATATACTTTCAATTTTATGGGTTAACAATATATATATATATATAATAACAATATCTATCGTTTTGTGTATACACACTATAACGAGTTATAACTTTATGTAAACTTTGCGTATCATTATTATTGTGTTTGCGGTTTCTTATATACTGTATATACAGTATATACAGTATATACTGTATATACAGTATATATATACTGTACTGTACTGTTAGACCCCAGTAGTAAATATGATGACTATAACCCTACCATTGGTTTATTAGTGCACACCATAAGAGATAATAGCCTTAAAAAACTACAGACAAAACTGGAGGCGATATGAAAGGCTGGGCTCAAGTATTTCGTGATAAAAGACTAATGGAATTCTTGGAGTATATATATATAGTATATACTGTATATAAACTGTATATTTTGGGTAAATATATACACATTTATATAGATAAATACAGTATAAGTATATATATATATATATATATATATATATATATATATATATATATAGATAGTACAGATAGATATTTATACATTATATATTAAACTGTATAGTAGTATATATATACAGTATATACTGTTATAGTATAAACTCTATTGATTATGGCTTATAACTTAGACATCAGATTTTATACTTAACCTCTAGAAATGACCCGAAATTTACTTTAATTTTTAAGAACTATTGACAAATATTTTTGTTTTGTTATTCAAAGAGAGAGAGAGAGAAAGAAAAAAATACTAAATCTATTGATACTAAAGACTTTATCTATTTATAACAAACTGTGCATTACTAGTATATTATATGTATATACAGTATATTTCTATATATAATATATTGCATAATGAGATAAACTTAGTAGAGAGTTATAGAAAAATATATATATATTTTATATGTATATATAATTTATAAATATTTTATTTATTTTTTATCTCATTTGAAAATTTAAAAATGCATTTTAAAAAAAATGCTCAAAATATTTCCATAGCGAATATCTTCTTTTTTTTACATACATACATATATTAAATATATTTATATAAAAAATTATATTTTAAATATATTATAGATATATATTATATATATATATATACATATATATATATATTTATATCAATAAATAGATTGTGATAAAAGTGCAAGCGTTAAAAAAAATAAAAGTTAAAATGAATCAATGAGTGAATGATAGATAGATAGATAGTTACAGAATATTCTGTATATGAAAAATATATTTCTAGAAAAATATTATTTTGTTTTGTTTTTTTTAAGTCACAGACAGTATATACTGTATTGTATATATTATATAATATAAGCTTTTGCATCGCGAAAATTTGCCAAAAAATTTATTTTTTATTTTTTAGCGATAAAATATAGAAATAATAAATAATAAAATAAAATAAAAAACAAATACTATAATAACAACAAAATACGAGACCATATAAAATAAATAAATATATATAAAGTATAATATTATGGAAAAATAAAATAATAATTTCATTTTAAATACCTGACTGTTGTTGATATTGTTGTTGTTGTTGTTGTTGTTGTTGTTGTTGTTGTGTCTGTGATTGTGTGACAACCGGTGTATAAATATTAAGATACAGACAGTCTTCAGATTGATTTTGTAATAAACGGATCAAATTCTTCATGTATTCAAAGCGCTGTAAAGGCATCCTTTTGAGCGCTTCCGACGAGTTTCGCATAATTAGCTCGTAATAGGGTATCCGTTGCGGACATACCGGCGACAACCGATTGGCCAGTCGTGTGCCCCGCCAATGGGTGGGCGTCACGGGCGGCATAAACCGTAGCGAACCGATCGGCGGCGTGGCGTACGGTACGCCCAAATAGGCTTCAATAGTGTGCAGTCGGATGTGAGGAAAGTCCGATTGGCGTAACGGCGTGAATGTGACATATTTGCCGCGCAATGAGCCGTATTTAGTGTTGACTTGACGTACGGATAGGTTTTCCGTTTGATCGGAGCTTATGATGAGTGCCTCAGCCGTCGAAATGTTGTTATTTTTGTTGTTATTTAACTGTAATTGTATTAATACAATGATGATTGCAATCACTTTATTTAACATTTTCGTTGAATCAAAACTGTTTATCAGATTTAGTTAGTTAGCGGTTTGGGTTTCGGTTTGTAAATCACATCATTTGAAATATTTTTGGTGCTATAATATCCTCTTTTTTTCTCTCTCTCTCTATATATATAATAAATTTTATAAAATTATCAGTACTGACAACACATTTACCACAAATATAGTACAGTATATTATATATGATATTATCTCTAAATGATATTATGAAATAAAAAAATATATATTAATATATAGAATATATTATAATTTATATGTTGAGTAATAAACAGATTATTATAAGTTTTGTTTTATTTAAGATATTTAAATTATAATCTTGATAGCAGTATCATATAACTTAATTGTTTTAATATTATAATAAAATTGTTTTTATAAAATTAATATATAATATTTTCTATAATGATAATAATCATAGCAAAAAATAAAATAATTTAATTAATAATAATTAAAATAATATATATTAAAATAATTTTTGCACATAATTCAAATTTAATCTTTTTTCT